GCCCCGCCGCCCCCGTCCCTGCCCCTCGTCCCCTGCCCCGTGCTCTTGTACCCCGCTGTGTGCTTCTCCCTGCCCCGGCCCTGACCACGCTCTGGGCCCCGCAGCTGCGAAGTCCAAGGGCAAGAACGTGGCAAAGGAGGACCTGAAGGGGCCAGAGGTGTGCACGGACCCCGTTATGCTCACCACCTACGCCATGGGGGTCAATATCTACAAGGAGGGGCCCGAGGTGGCCCTGAAGCCTGACTCTGAGTATCCCGACTGGTACGTCATGCCTGGCTCCCTTGCTGCGAGTGCAGGGGGGACCTAGTGTTAGAGCAGGGCCTGGAGGTCAGGACTGGCCTGGGTGCGATCGGCACAGGTTTCCTGGTCCCTGGCAGGGAGCGGTCCTCGCAGGAGGGTTAGCATGGGGGCATTTGGTCTGTGCAAGACACCTGGGTACTCTAGGAAGGCCGCATAAGTGGGTTCCTCCTGGGGTGCCCATCTCTACAAAGGTGTCACCTTGGACTGGCCTCTCTGAAGCCCTGCACCCACACAGGTAGGGTGTTTCTGGGGAAGGTGGTGCCTGCTTGGGCCTGGAGGCACTGATGAATGAAGGAAAGATGGGGAGCTGCTCCCCATTCTGGGAAGAGGAAACCAGTGTTGGTCTGCAGCCCAGAGACCTTCCCTGAGACCTGGGGGAGGAAAGCAGGCTGCACCATGGATGTGGTGGAGGAGGGACCTGGACACCCTGATCACACACAGCCATTGCTTTGACCCCTGTCTGTCCCCCTCCCCTTTCCTGCTGCAGCCTTACACATTCTGCGTTCACCCCTAGGCTCTTTAAGATGAATCTGGAGCCCCCCAAGAAGCTAGAGGAGCTGGACCCTGAGTCGCTTGAGTATTGGAGGCGCCTGCGGAAGTACAACACGTGGCGCCGCAACAAGCTGAAGAAGGGCAAGAAGCTGTAGACCCAGGCCCTGCAGTTCTCAGAGGTGCTGGGAGCTGCAGTGAATGTCAACGATGGAGGATGCTGGGCCGAGCTGCCCTCTCCTGCTTTTAGTCTCTTATTCTTGCTGTAAACTGATAATAAATCTATGGCCATGCTGATATCTGTCCCTTCCTGAAGCTGTGGCGAGCGCAGAGACACCCTGTAAGCTCAGCGCGCAATGTCTCTGTGGTGACCTGCGTGTCTCCCCTCTGTGCCCAGGGCCTGCCCCCAGCACATGTACGTCCTGCTCTGAGGATCTGCTGGTGCGTTTGCAGCTGATCGTGCCCCTTGCTGCTGGTTACCCTCAGGCAACAAATTCTGGGTGTTGCTGCTAAAACAGAAGCTTCATTTTTTTGCTCATAGAGGAACCTAAGCTGCCAAACCAGCTTGGCTCTGTCTTCTGTGTGCTGCAGGACCTGGGGAACTGTTTGAAGAGCCTGCAAAGGAGGCAGCAGGTTTGCCGTAGGGAATGCCTCCACGGGCATCACCTTGTCCCCCTTGGGAGCAAGGGGTTTGTAGGACTGGGCAGCTGTTGCTCCCAGGGCCATTTCCCTCCCTGGGGGAAAGATGGGGCTCTGGCAGTGCCTGCGGAGGCAGCAAGTGAGGTGAACAGGGGCATCATGGTGCCTCCTGCTGGGGTCATGTGCTGGCCTCCCCAGGGCCCAGCGCCTCCGCCCCCACTCCATGCTGTCGCTTCCTCCTCCCACTCAGCCTCCCAAATGGGGCCCGTGGGGGAGGCGTCTCCATCACACCAGAGAGAAGTGTGTTCTTGGTACTGAAGATGCAGTGTCTCGGCGTTCCGGAGGGCCACATCTCCCCTAAATGCACAGCAATGAGGGCTTCTTCGCTGCCCTGTCCCCATACGTCCTCAGCCTGAGAGAACCCATCAGCTTCCCTGTGGCTGTCTTCTGCTTTCAGCCCTGATCTGCACACGTGGACCCTGGTGGAGAAGCGCTTGTGTCCTGCCTTAGCGAGGAAAGAGCATTGGAGCCACAGCCCGACCCACAGGCCCGACAGCGTCCCCTGTGCCCTGAACCCTGTGGGGCTCAGGGTGGCCAGAGGTGCCAAGCTTTCCCCAGGGGCTGCAGGGAGGCCGGGTGAGGAGCTGGCAGGCGCCCACGCTCTGCAGCACAGGAAGCGGTTCAAAAAATGTGTGGCGTAGGAAGGGGGCTTTTGCTTTTAACCTTCATTTCCTTTGCGTGGGGCTCGGCGCACGCCGAGCTGCAGCTCAGAGCTGACGGCTCCGGGCAGGCTCTTCCGGTGGGATCTGTCTTGGAGGCTCGGGCCAGGCGGTGTCTGGAGGTGAGTGCCCTGTGCCTTTGAGGCACTATCCCCTCCGTTCCCGTGCTACTGCTTGCCTTCCCTGCACCACTCTCCAGTGCACCCGGCCCCTTTCTCTTCTCCTCCCTGCCAAATCCAGGGCTGCACCGGGTGGGCAGAGAGGGCAAGCAAGTCCCTGCCCTCCTCATTCAAGCCTCCGCTGCCTCCTGCCTCTGGCATTGGTCAAGTGTCAGCCTGCCACCACGGATGGGCTTGCCCTGGGAACAAGTTCCCACCCAGGATGTCTCAGTGAGGAGAGAGGAAGGGACCCCTGGGAAGGAGGGAGCCCATTTCCTGGTGTGGCCCAAGGCCGGGCAGGGCAATTCCCACGCGAGGGGCGGGTTGGTGCGTACTGACGTTCCCTTTGCTGCCAAAGCCTTTGCTGGAGCCAAGGGGTTGAGGGGAGCTGAGACAGGTCCTGGCCCCAGCACTAGGTGTTTGCCCTCCTTGCTGTCCCCTGCATGCAGCCTGCATGGTGCCCAATCCTGCTCTGGGGCTCAGATTCATCTTCCCTTCCCCTCTCCTGCCCCATCAGGCTTCTCTTGGTGCCCTGGCAGGGTTTTGGCTGGCTCCTGCCAGCTGGAGCCACCACCAAAGTGATGGGCAAGGGGTTGCCCTGGTCCAAGGCTGGGCTGATGTGGCCCTGGCTCTTTGCGGAATGCCGGGGGTGAGCTGAGTCCCCTGTGCTGCTGGCACAGCCCTTGTCCTCCAGGTGCAGAGGGGGAACTTGTGGCATATCTGGCTGGCTGCCTGCAGGCAGCGCCCAGCAGGGCTGCCCAGCCAGCTTCCCCCTGCTCCTGGCGCCTCCCCAGTGTGACTGGGGGGACCAAACCCCTGTCGAGCTCCCTGCAGAGGAGCACGTCCACCTCACTTGGCACCTCACACCCGCGAGAGCCATGCAAACATCCCAGACAACCTGGGCACCTCTGTGCTGCCAGCTGGGATGTGTTGAGACTTGCTGGGAGCTGATATGACCCTGATGGACTTGTGCTGGGTCTTGCTGATGTTCTTCATCCCAAGCCATCCCGTATCCCAGCCCCATGGGTCCTGACCAGCCCCACTTGCCAGAACAATGCCTTGCTGCGCCACATTGTCCATGAGAAGCTCCTGGAGATGTCCTGAGGGGTGCAGGCACCTCTCATGTCACTGCAGTGATGGCTCATACCCTCCACACCCCCAGGCAGGTGGTGGCTGGCAACGCCGCTTGTGGTGCTGAGACTGGGGCAGCTGGCCAGAATGGCGGACTGGAGCATGCCCATCAGCTCCCTGAGCGAGGACGTGGTGGCCAGGCTCTGTGAGCTCCTGGACAATGCCAGCCGGGGCTGGCGCAAGCTGGCAGAGGTGGCTGGGGCTGAGAAACGCTTCAAGTGCAGGTAGGAGTGTGGGGGCTGTGGGCAGCAGCTGGGTCTGTCCCTGCAGGAGGCACGTCCAGGGAGCACTCATTGTTGACAGGTTGATGGCTCCAACCATTGTCAACCTCCAGGTGACAAAATGCAGTGATGGGGCACAACCCCCCAACAGCCAAGGGCAATGGGGCTGTGCAAGAGCTGGGAGCCCTTCTCCATGCATGTGAGCACAGCCCTCCCAGAGGCTGAACAAGGGTGCCTGCGTCGCCTGTTCACCCTGTTGTAGCCACAGCCTGGGGTGGGAGGCGATGTCAGGTCCTCTGGGCATTGCTGGACCCCAGGGAGGGAGGCTGTGCTAGGTCCCCATCCTCCCCTGGTGCCCATGTTGGCCCTGGCTACCCCGGAGCTGGGCTGTGGCACTGACCACTGGGGCCACTTTGCAGTGAGGAGGAGCTGGAGATGTGCTCGCTGAAGGTGCTGGAGTCCCGTGGCAGCCCCACGCAGTGCCTCCTGCAGCTGCTGGCCGAGCGTGACTGCAGCCTCAAGTACCTGCTGGGCTGCCTGGACAAGATGGGGCACACGCAGGCCTGCCAGGTCCTCAGCGGTGCTGGTAGGGACTGCCATTGTGGTCATGTGGGGCCTGGAGATGGGACCAAAGATGGGGACTCAGCAGAAGAAAGGCAGGGAGAGAGGAGGAGCAGCTCTTCCTATTGATGGTCTCGTGCTGGCTAATGGTGCCCTGGCCAGGGTGGGATGGGATAGGGTGCAGTAGGATGGGATATGGCATGATAGGATGGGGTGGGACAGAGAGTGATAGGATGGTTGGGATGGGTCAGGGTGAGATGGAATGGGAGAGGCTGGGACAGGACAAGGGTGTGTTGGGATAGGATGGGGCAGGATGGAATGAGATGGGGATGGGACAGGGTGTGTTGGGATGGGATAGGAAAGGATAGGAGAAGATGGTTGGGATGGGACAGAAAGTGAGAAGATGGGGCAGAATGGGATGGGATGGGACAGAACCAGGTATGATGGGATGGTGTGGGATGGTGCAGGATGGAGGTCTCAGCCAGCCTAGGTGGTTCTCTTCTCTCCCGCAGTCCAAGGCACAATCTGCATCACGGTGCAGCCAGAGTCGCATATGGTGGCAGAGGGGACGCGGGTGTCTCTGACCTGCTTGGCGACAGGCCCACCGGGGCTTAGTTACCAGTGGTTCTGTGGGAAGAAGGAGGTGAGATCCCACCGTGGCTGCAAGATGCCAGGACAGGCTTGACTCTACTCCTGGCACACAGAGTAGCTTTGGGCAAGTTCTCCTGGGGGCTCCTGGGCCCAATGCGTGGCAAAGGCACCCCAATTGTCTCTGGACCAGCTCATGCTAGGACGGATGATCGGGTGGGATGGAGCGCCCAACCTGAGCTGTTTGAATTCTCAGTCCCTGACGTCTCCCTGCTCTCTCCTAGCTGCCCGGAGCCACAGCCCCAGAGCTGGTGATTGACACGGCCACCTCGCAAGGCCAGCCTGGCTGGTACATCTGCCGTGTGAATTGTGGGGTCAGCTTCGTCTTCTCCAGGTGGGCCCACGTCCAGGTGGAGAAGAGCAGCAGCCCCAGCTCAGGTGGGCCCCGAGATCTCTGTCCCCAGGCTGGTTCCCGCAGGGCATTGCTCTCCCCATCAGGCCCCAGGCTGGCTCCTGCAGAGCATCATTCACCCTGTTGGGCCCTGGCTCAGCTGCGAGAATCGCTGGGCTTGCCGGGGTAGTGGTGCCCATGGAGGAGCTGAATAGACAAGCCCTGGTTGTGCCCAGTCCCACATCCTGCTAGTGCCAACTGGCTCATGGCCAACACTTGCATGGCATGCCCCAGCACCCTGGGTGCCAGGGCCTGCAGATTGGTGTTTTGGAGCCCGGATGGATCTGTACCAAGGGCTCAGCCCCAGGCTCTGCCCCATATGCTGAGCATCCTTGTGTCAAGCCAAAGGGCCCCAACACAGCACGAGGGCTCTGGTGTGCCTTGCCTTGGTTGGGTGACGTATTTGGTGCCCTGTCCCCTCTCCAGCGAGTGGGTACTGCCCGACCATGGCGGGGCTGCAGATCCTGCGGCAGCCACGGCCCTGCTGCTTGGCCGAAGGGGATACTCTGGTGCTGGAGTGCAGAGCCATCGGCAACCCGCCGCCCCAGTACCAGTGGTTCAGAAATCGGCGCCCTGTGGAGGGCGCACGAGCACCCCAGCTTCAGGTACTACCACAGGCCCCCTTGCCCAGCCTGCCACCATGCAGGCTGTGCTTTGCAGCGGTAGCCCCCAGTTCCCCTCTCTGTCCCTGGCAGGTGAAGCTGGTGACGACAGCTGAGCGAGGCAGCTATTCCTGCCGCGTGTTCAACCTCTTCCATGAGATGTGGAGCCAGGAGGTGGACGTGGAGATTGGTGAGGGCTTGGCGCTGTGCCTATGGCCAAGACGAGCTCCCAGGTGGGGTGCCAGCCCCATCCAAGAAGTGACAACCTCCATCCCCTCCTGTTCCACCACTCTAGTGTGGTGTGCCCTGGCTGCGCCAGCCTTGTCCCCCGTAAAGCCTTCCTGTGGCCTCTCCTGGGTGTCCCATTTTTATTGGGGAGCTCCACTCCCATCCTGGGATGTGATGATCATGGTGCATGGTGCAGTGCAAGGGTTGCTCCAACATGTCCCCATACAATGCCGAGGTCCCCCCCAGGCCACTGGCCTCTTCAGTGCCCTCTGGCCCTCGTGTGTGCCCTCTGGCTCTCTCTAGCCTGACTCCCCACTTTGTACTGCCACAGGCCCGCGGCTCTTCACCTCCGGAGGCTCCTGGCAGGACGGGGATGGAGGTACATGTGGGGTCTGTTCCTGCTCCTCTCCTTCTTGGAACGGCACAGCCCTGCCTGGACTAGGAAATGGAGACGGGGAACGGTGTGAGCCGTGGCAGGCTGCTTGCTGCCTGGCTCCCAGGCAGTGGGGCCCTCCCAAGGGGTTGGCCTCTGCATGTTTGCTTCTGGGGACAGCCCGCACAAATACTCTCCAGGGAGAGAGTGGTGCTCAGGGCTGTGGCATGCATGTTTCTGTCTTGTCAGGTGCCCCGGAGTGCTGTAGCCCTGGCCAGCTGTATGGTAAGACTTCTTCTAGGAAACAGCCTGTCCCAAATGGCTTGGTGACACTGGGGCTGTCACTGTCCTGGTCCCTGGTCCCCAGCATCACTCTGCAGGGTCTCCTCCGCTCGACTGGGCTCGGGCATGGAACACTCTGGGCATAGCACCCTGGGGAGACCTGAGCAGAGTCAGGGACCTGTGGTGCCCTGGGAGTACCCCAGGCATGAGGAAACCAGGCACAACAAGGTGTCACCTCCATAGGTGGGGGGAGCAGGGGAATGTTCCTGACTCTGTCCCCAGCACATCCCTCTCTCATCTTGCAGCCACTGACAAAGTTGCCCTGCTGATTGGCAACATGCACTACCTGCACCACAAGCACCTGAAGGCCCCCATGGTGGACGTTCACGCGTTAAGCAGCCTCCTCCGCCAGCTCGACTTCAAGGTGGTCTCGCTGCTGGACTTGTGCAAGGCTGAGATGCAGATGGCTGTCAATGAGTTCCTCCTCCTCCTTGACAAGGGTGTCTATGGTACAGTGGCTCCTGCTGTGTCTGTGCCCCTGCTGCCTGCCCGCAGCCAGGTGTCCCCCCACTCATTAGGGCATCTCTAGCCCTGGAAGTACCAGGACAGTTTGGGGCTGGTGAGGCCTTGAGGGGAAGTTGGGCAAGGAATAGCCTAAACCAGGGCAAGAGCAGAAGCTCAGGGGTGGGTAGTGCAGCCCAAACTGGAGGGAAGACCCAGGCTGTGCAGAAGCTTACCCTTCCATCGCAATGGGCCATCCCAGGGCGAGTGGGAATGGGGATGGCATTACAGAGTGGGTTGCTGAGGTGGCCCTGGGATGAGGCAGACCCCTGAGAAATGGGGACATGTGAGGAGGGAAAAAAAGTCATCCTTGTCCCACTGTCAGGTTTGCTTTACTATGCCGGGCATGGCTACGAGAATTTCGGCAACAGCTTCATGGTGCCGATCGACGCACCCAGCTCCTACACCTCAGCCCACTGCCTGTGTGTGCAGGGCGTGCTGCGGAGCATGCAGCAGCGCCACACTGGCCTCAACATCTTCCTGCTCGACATGTGCCGCAAGAGGTGACTGAGTCCTGGCCGCGAGGTGTAAATCTGACAAGGCGAGAGGTCCTGGGATGTGGGTGCCCACTGCCAACAGGGTGCCCCATTGGGTGCTGAGACTCAGGGGAGGAGAACAGGGACCCTGGGGTCCCAGGCAGGAAGTAAGCACCCAGTAGGCACCCCTTGGGTTCATCTGGGTACCCCAAAGCCATGGGTGTCACAACTGAGCTGGCAAACCCCACTGTGGGCAAACTGGTGTGTGCAGGGGGACACTGGGCAGGTCCTTAGTGCCTGCCGCAGGGCCTAGGCTTGCTTAAGGTGGGTTTTGGGGAGCTGCAGCCCCTGGAAGGAAGGAGTCGGGGAGACACAGCTCCCAGGGAAACTAGAGTGCACCCCGTGGCTGGCTCAGATGGGCTTGCTGCCAGTAAATCTCCCAGCAAGCTGGCTCCCTGGGCACAGGGGAGACTGCCCTGGCATGTTCGGGGAGGCAGTGGGCGCCCCCAGCTACGCCACAACCCACCACACTGGGTCCTTCTTTTGCAGGAACCTCAACGATGATATCATCCCGCAGGTTGGGGCGTTGCAGGTCACAGCCAACATTGTCTTTGGCTATGCTACGTAAGTTCCCATATCTGCCATCCTTTGGGCATGCAGGCAGCGGGGCTGAGTCCAGGCAGCCTTGCTTGTGTTATACCTTGCTTCAGGGCTGGTGGGACATGTCTGTCCATAGCCTGGAGTGAGGACAAGGACCAGTGCTCCAACCGAGCCTTTCCCCATACCTGGACGTGCTGTGTGTAAGCAGTATCACTCTAGGTCAGATTGGCTCTCTCCTGGTTGGTGCCATCAATGCTGGGGGTTGTGAGGGGAAGTCTTGGCCCCAAACTCCTTAGCGGGAAGGGAGAATCTCACAGTGGTGCTTGGGCCGATGGTGTCCAAGGGAATTCAGTACTGAGGCTTCTCTGGAGCACAGGGATTTGGGTTGATGATGCTCTATGTGCCCAGGATCCAGCCAAAGCTCCTGCTGCATCCTGGCATGGCTGTTGGGTGGTTCAGGCCTTGGGCTCAGCTATGTCCAGCTCTGAGGCTCGAGTCTGGGTCCAGCCCCATGCTGGGGACCTGGCTCAGGGCCCAGGTTCCTGGAGGAGTATCACAGAGGTGGGAGGACCCTAGCCATGGAGCCCATACCTGCCTGTCTCCCTCCCAGCTGCGCGGATGCTGAAGCCTACGAGCTGAGCCAGGGTGAGCTCTCCAATGGCATCTTTGTCAGCTTCCTCAAGCGCTGGCTGCTGGAGGATGAGAAGATCACAGTACTGCTGGACAAGGTGGCTGAGGGTGAGTGGCGAGAGATGGAGGGCAGCCAGCGAGGCTCATGGCCTCCTCCAACCCCCTCCTCCTTCTGCAGATATGGGCACGCTGGAAATCACCCGGGGCCGGCAAGCCTTGGAGCTGCGTAGCAACCTCTCGGAGAGACGAGCCCTCACAGACCCCATCCAGCCGCCTGAGGGCCAGGACGAGTCATCCGTTAGGAACCTGCAGTGGGCCAAGGCCCATGGTGAGTGTTGCGGCCACCCTGTCCCAAGCACATGGAGCTGGGACCCATCCCTCTTGGAAAGGGAGGTCCAAGAGATGGTGGAATAAGGCAATGGGCAGCACTTCCCAGGACCTTTCTCCCAGCCTTTCCTCTCTGCTCCAGGAAGGAGAAATCCCCGAGCACAACCCCTGTGGAAGCTGCCCGCCCCAAGGCAGGGGCTTCAGGGTGGGGGCCTTGCTCCAGGGAAACCTGCTTTTGCTATCAGGGCACTGCAGCAGCTGCTCCCTTGTGGCTGAAGCACTGGCCCCAACCCTGAGTACCCCCAAAGGTGCCAGCCCCATGCTCGCTGTCTCCTCAGTCCTTCCAGAAAGCCGGCACCTCCACTTTGACTGTGGGGTCACCATCCAGCTGGGCTTTGCCGCTGAGTTCTCCAACATCATGATCATCTATACCCGCATTGTGGCCACCTCAAAGGACATTACCAAGTGTGAAGCCAAGCTCACAGACATACCGGAGGTGAGGGCTGGTTTCTAAAACCCCTGGGGATCTGCACTTGGTGACGTGATGTCGGGCAGGGGTCCCGTTGGGCCTGCAGTGATTTTCATGCCCAGGCGTTGTCTGTGGCAGGAGCTGGATGTGGATCTCAAGTTCACCAACAAAGAGAGCCCTGAGGAGGTGGGCAGCCCGCTGTCCCCAACCTGGAGCCTCAATATCCCCTCCTGCTGCCTCTACAGCCGGCTCTGCGGCCTGCAGAAACTGCGGGTAAGAGCTGTGCTGGGCAGGGGGGCAGTGACACTGTTGCTGCCTAGTCACTGTTTTCAGGGCTGGCTCTGCCAGGATCTGGTACAGGTCTGCCCATGCACCCAGGGCCACCTTGAGCCCTGGGGCTAGGCCAAACGGCCCTGGCCGTGGCAGTGTTGGGGCCAGGCCATCCTCATGAGCTTTGTGCGCATGCTGCTGGTGCTTTGCAGCAGGAGCTGGTGTTCACCGTGTGCCTGCAGTACCAGTACCGGGGCATGGATGACTTCGTGGAGGAGAGGCAGACGGTGAATGTGGGGAAGCCGCTCATTGCCAAGCTCAACCTGCGGCTTGGCAACGGCCTGGATGCCTCTGCCCAGTCCAACCTGGATGTCTCTGTCTCGCTGCCAGGCTCGGAGGCCTCGGGCAGCCCCCTGTCCTGCCTGTCCCCGGGCAGCTGGGCAGCC